ACCGACAGGCTGACAACAGCTAATGGCCTTCCGCCACACGAACACTGTTGAACATGATTGTTACCTCAATAAACCACCTTTTGTTCAATAACAAACTCCCTTGTTCGCATTAAAATACACTGCCCGAGTGCATCTACCTTATTCTAGGGCTTATTTAGAAGTAGCCGTTACTAGTATAAGCAGCAGCTACGAATTATTGATCAGAATATACTAAAAACGTGAGAGCTTTATTATTAAAACATAATTCCTTAACTATCATTCGGATATGTTTGATTTATAAATATAATTTCAGACAGAGTGAAAATATATATAATCTATTGAGACTTTAAAAAGTATTTAATAATTCATAAAAACAAGCATTTTTATAGGCTTTTAGTTTTATATTTTTAAGATTATACTGAAAACAAAGAGAGTAATATTTATAATAATACTGAAAAGATTTATAATATTTAATTCCGTCTCAAGAGGCTACTCATATAAACAATAAGAATATAAAAACGAATACTAATAAAATACATATTAGAGATAGATAAGAGAAGATTGATTCTCTAAGATATCGGAAAATTAATAGAAAGTTGGGCTATAATGTTATTCTGAGAAAAGATAAGGTAAGGATCTCGTTAAACCCCCACTACACCTAGATTCGCCCCTCCCACTGACTTTTATATTTAGTTACGAGAAAGGATATAGGTTACTGTTTAGATAATACACTACTAAGAAAAGAAAATGCAAACGCCTCGCGACCTGACAGCGTACAACGTCGTTGAATATGGAAAGGGAAGCCCGAGGAGTTTAAAGTAGGCAGAGATTTGAAATCGGGGACGCTGAACTTCGTAGGCAACTTGTCACTAATGCCCTCGTCTCAATCTCAGCCATAAAAATACAACAGTCCCGAAAAGCACCAGCAACAGCCCGGGGGTTGTGTACAGAGAACCTTGATTCAGTGGGCTCTCGACCGCGTTAGGTCTGTAAATGACCTTCTCCGTCAGGCGGTGAGCTGCTTGCGGGTCGTGAGCAGGGAGCAGCACAACGTTTTCGCTCCTAGCGAACTCTTTGATTTTCCTGAGAGAATCGACTGCTAGCGCCGGATTGCTGTTGACACCATCCGTAAGCTCCTGGTCGAGTAGGTCCTGATCATATGTAGCATCCCCAAGTAGGAGATACGAAACATCATCAGCACGAACAATGACCGAAAGATATCCTGGCACATGGCCGGGTGTGTCGACAGCCACGACCTTTCCATCTTCGGTGATGGGATAGCTCTGGTTCCATGGACCATTGAGGCCACCGGTTGGTTGAAGAATGGAAGGTTTGAAAGATGCTGGCCATTGGTTCGGAACGGCCCCTTCCATTGTAGCATAAAATGGCGTCTTGTACGCCTGCCAATGTTCTTCGGTGATCCAGACCGGTGCTCCGACGAGGTCGGGCAGCCCGTCACCATGATCATGATGAAGATGGGATAAAACGACTGCCTTGAGGTCACCTGGAGTAAGGTTCTCTTGCTCAAGTCGGGAGCCAATGCCCTCATCTTTTCCTACATCGATATCGACAGCAAGATGGAAGAAGGGCATCCAGAGTGGGAAATAACCGGGCTCCATACTGTGTGGCGACTCGCCGGAGTCGAACAGAATGGGCCCCTCTGGATGATCGATCAAGTACGTGTTGATAGGCAACGGATCTGTCCAGGATGTGTCCAGCAAGACTGACAGGCGGCGCAGGAGTACAGCTTTATTGGCAGGCTGATGACGGTGGGAGGGGCGGCTTCTTATCGACCCTGTCTGGAGAATCTTGATGCTGATGGCCATTTTGAAGTTGCGATGGAAAGGTATAAATAAGTGCAGACAAGTTCATAGGAATTGGTTCATACGGAAAAGAGACTGAATGGTGTTGATGTGGATGGATAGTATTTATTTGAGTCCGCGAGATATTGAATTTGGGCGTCTGAATGCAGCCATGTACTTTGTGCCCCTGGGCACGATGAAGACATTCATGCCGGTGTGATATGCGTCATGGACCAATCGCCTTAGACGCTCTGGCAGCACGGCGATTGGCGAACGCCATTTTCCGTGATCGGAGGTGCTAGCCACCGGCGTCCACCTTCTGGTGATTTACATAGCATCATGTGTTTAGGCATCCCAGACAGACGCGCCAGTACGGCTTCAGGCTCATCCGATGCCCGACTTTCGTCTTGTGAAAGCCTGCCCTTTTCAACCCCGTCGTAATTGCTTGGCCAAGATCTCCCGGTCGCCGACGGAAACCCGCGACAGGGACGCTTCCATCAAGCAGTGCGTGTGAAGAATGTCGCTTGGAGAGCACGCCCCTCATGCGAATGAGAAGGACTGAAAGGTGGAAGAAGCGATAGCTACTCGAATCGCGTAACGCGCACGGGGTTTAAGGGAGAACGAAGGCGCCTCTTGTTCCACAAGTAGTGCAAGGATAGCCCGAGTTTCCATCTAATCATTGCCGAATTTCGCAGAAAAATAAAGGTATTGAACATAGTCCATAGACAGACGCGGAAGTAAAAGTATCGACTGGTGTATTACTAGCAGTTTGATCTTGTGGAGTCTCGGGTCTCGCTTGGGTTGGCTGATCTCTTGACTAGTTTCTCGTGACGCATTTGAAGTAAGCAGCAGGCGTTATTCAATACTCGAATAGCCCTTTATATCAGTCCCTGAGGAAGAGCTAGCTGAATACTATATAGGACGCAGCTCGATTAGTTATAACATTTTCCGTCGTTACGAGTTTCAATACTGATTTGCTATACGAGGCTTCTTGGGGCGCAAATCTGCTCCATGTTATAAAGAAGATAGAAGCTACGTGGGTAACTTCGATTTTATGTTGTTTATTCCATGAGATTGAACTAGTAGGTACTTAAGTAGCCTATACATAGTTCACAATTCGCGATAACAGAGCGAAATGTACATTACTTGACGCGGCTAAGTAAAGCTGCAGCTTCTTCATCATTGGTATCCGTCGAGCTACGCTAAAGAATCTGCTCTAGTCCTTGGACTTGGGCTTCAATCCTCCGGCAGGCACCCTTCCTCTAACAGCAAAGCTTTGGAACTCACAACCCTTCTCTGACAGCTCCTGACGAACTCTGGCATCGAGCGTGTCGAGTTGTTCGGGCGAGAACCCCTGAAGCTCTGGCAGGGCTGAGCCTGACGTTAGCCTAAGCAAAGAAAACGGGCGTGCGATTGGGAACTTACTCCGGGCCATAGCCACGATCATAGGACCAGCGCCAGCAGCGCCATTGATGCTAGCTTCTTTGAGCTCAGGCTTCGCCTTAGCACCAACCTTACATGCCAAGACATCGACCTGAACGTTCTCGAGACCGGCCGCTTCCATCCAGTCCTTCAAATTGGGACCAAAGTTCCCGCCCATCTTCTTGATGATCCAAATCTGCTCCAGCAGATGGAAGAACTCGCGAGCGACTGTGCCTTCGCCCAACAGACTCTGGTCACAGTCAAGCTCGACAAGCTCAACCCAACCCCCCGGCTTAGCCAACGCGCAGAGATTGGCAACAGCCTGCTCGAGAGCGAAGTTGCCGCAAAAGCCCAGCACCTGGCGCTGGTGGACAACATCAAATGATTCTTGCCACTCGACAGGCCAGGCCTCGGTGATAGACTGTTTATAGAACTCGATGCCATCGGGTCGAGGATTGGGGAAAAGTGCTTCAACTAGGTCAGTGCCAATGAAGGTTTGCTGTTCAGCGGCAGGTCCCGCTTGCTTCCGAAGGTCCTGCAGCCAGATGCCTAATCCGATGGTCAGCCATAACATGCACAGCTGCATGTGGAAAAACTCATACCATCTGCCGTTGCGGAGTCCAAGACCCTGAGACCGGGCTTCTTCCAATCGATTGGAATGAAGGACAGCTTTCCACCGGCAGCATCTGTGTAGACGAGGTGGTTATCAGTCAAGCGGGAGATTTCTTCTTCCAGGCCACGTTTTTTAGCATCTGCCATGAGTTCGTCCATGCCAGTGCCGTTGGCGATGCCGGCATCAAGCTCGGCTTGCGGAGGGGCAGCGGTGTTTGTAGTAGCCATGTTGGTCGACGAAGCTTAGAATGAACTTGGGTTTTCAAAACGAGTTGTAAAGAGGAAGTGAGAATGTGGTGCGCAGCTGGAAGATGAACTCACAATCTTTTCTGTGATGTATTGAGGCCATTACTTAATTATGTTTATTTCAATCATGTTTATTTCGTCATGTCCCGTTGTCTAATCTTGGCGATTACAAAAGCTCTAAGAGTTTGTATCTCAGACAGGCTAACCCTCAAGTCCCTATTCCATTTCCTGCCAAGTCTAGTAAACATCAGGCAGCAGGCAACGTTCCGGTAAGCCACGGAGGATTCGCCAAGGTGAGACATTAGGGCGTAACGATGTCGAAGTGGAACTATGCTGGTGTGAACTTACGGATAGTTGCATAAATGACGTTGAGGGACTTTGGAGATACCCCTTGACACTTCGCCCCGTCAATGGGATAGCTCTCATCAACCCCCGCCACCACCCCTCTCTTATGCCCCGGTCCCGAAGGATCTAACTAGTCACTTGCAGGCCATCCTTTGCCGCTCGGCATGAAGGATGGAATATCCCAGTCTGTAGATAGTACGACGCACCCCTCCCAATATTGGTCTTCCTCATGGGGGCTTCGTAAAGAGTGGTGCGGGAACTTTTGATGACAGTCACCCTTTGTATCCATGGGTATCATCTCTCATGCAATCATCTGACGATATTTTCTCAGACATTGCTCCCTAGTCTTCCGTGCGAATTAGGTCATGGAACGTCTATGACTGAATCAAGGCGAATTTTACGCCGAAAGCTTAAGCTCGGCGACCGCTGGCCCGACTCATTGCCTTGTAGAATCTATTCTTGATTCCTTGGTTTAGCGGCCGTATTCTTTCATGAATCTGAGTTGCGGTGGCATTATCCTTGAGTTTCCAGTCATTCTGAGCATTTTTGGTGCCCCAAAACACTTTTTGCACTCTGCGGTGAACAGCTTCCATGATGGACTTCACTTGGGATTCACTGAGCACATCCAAAGCTTTGGTGTTACTTCTACTGCACTATTCTATCATTGTGGTGGCCTACCGCTTATTTTTTTCACCGCTGAGAAACATTCCCGGCCCGAAACTTGCCGCAATAACATTTTTGTACGAATTCTACTACGATGCCATCTGTCGTGGGCGCTTTCTGTGGAAAATCCAGGACTTGCATGCCAAGTATGGTCCCATAGTCAGGATCAACCCTCGCGAAGTTCATATCAACGACATCACATTTTACGACGAGATCTACGCCAGTGGACCACATCGACCTCGGAATAAGATTCGGTTCATGGCCACCCAGGATGAGAGCATGTTTGACACCTATAGCGCCGAAAGACATCGGATTCGCAGATCGGCGCTGTCTGGATCATTCTCTAAGCAATCAATCCGTGCTCTGGAACCTCTCATCGTTCAGACTATCAATCAATTGGCTGGTCGAATGAGTGGCCTTGCTGATTCTGGGGCGGTCATGGACTTCAAAGAGCTCTATAGTGGCCTCACCATGGACGTCATCGGCCAGTACTGTTTCGGCGAGAGCATGGACAACCTCAAACAAGACAAGTTCGGCAAAGAGTTTCTTGACTTTTTCCATGAGATGCCGCAAGGTCACCCCATTGGCCGCATGTTTCCTTGGCTCTTCGACTTGATCCAGAAAATTCCCATCAGTGTCCTAGCAAAGATCGATCCTAAGCTTCAGCCTCTTGCAGACTATGACAAGAAGATCTCTGGGCAGATCACGGAGGTCCTTGCCAAAGACAAGCCCGATACGATACGAACAGTTTTCCATGAGATGAGAGACAGCAAACAACTGCCGGAGTCTGACAAGACTCTCGAGCGCTTTAAAGCCGAAGCGGCGATCTTTTTAGGTGCCGGCACGGAAACCACTGCCGCGGCCTTGACGGTCTTGAGCTATTATCTCACGGAGAACCCGGCTATGCTTAAGACCCTCCGAGCTGAGCTCAAGTCTGTGAGCCCACCTTTCACTGTGGCAAAATTGGAGCCTCTCCCATATCTGGTCAGTTGTTATGTTCCATAATAGCGAGTATTTAAGTCGCTTCTTCGCTAAAATGAAAGCCCAGACTGGTGTCATACAAGAGGGCATAAGACTGTCTTATGGAGTACCGGGTCGTCTTCCGCGGTATGCTCCTACCGAAGACCTAATGTACTCTGGCTACAGGCTACCGCGAGGTGTAAGTACAACACAGTCCAAACTTACTCGGTCTTATACTTACCAATCTTCGTAGACCGTTATGAGCTCTTCCTCATACCTTCTTCATACGAACAAAGCGCACTGGAACAACGCAGACCAATTCAACCCCCAACGTTGGATCGATGATAAAACGAGGCTCATGCGCAATTTCGTGCCTTTTGCGCGAGGCAGCCGGCAATGTATTGGTGTGAACCTTGCCTATGCCGAGCTGTATCTCACTGTTGCCACGATATTCTCTAGGTTTGACTTCGAACTTTATCAGACTACACGGCGTGACGTTGAGCTTGCGCATGATTTCTTTGTCGGAATGCCTCCGCTAGATTCGGAAGGGATAAGAGCTCGCGTCTTCGAGCAATTGTAATTGAACGGAAGGAAACACTCGGAAGCTCGCTTACAAGATACCGTAGTAATTCAAATTCCGTGATAAAGTTTTTCGGTATCCCTAACCATCCAGTTACAGAGTTGTCAACGCATTGCTATACTACAAATGCAATAGCTAATGCCCTATAAAAAGTATGGAAAAGCCCTGCAGATTAACTGAACGTATACCGATAATGTGTTGATCACATCTTGTGTACCTTTGGGGCCTTTACAATTCAAGACTCGGTGAGGTCATGGCATTCTACTCAAGCTTGGTTCATGCTGTGATGTGGCAAAGCTATTCGATTGCTATGGATGACTCGAAGACCCCATCAATTTCAACGTTGGCACTACATGTATTCTGGAGATAAATTGGCATGGAACCAGGATCACAATATTGAACTCGTTTCTTAATGCGTCTTGGCCCGTTTGATGACTGCCATTAGAGGCGGCTTCGACCGTGTGCTATAAGTGAGTTGGCGATCCAGCCAATTCTCAGACGCAGCGTCCAAGGCTACGTCATAGTTGAACAGCAGTTTACACAGGGTCATGCGTAGAACATAAAAGCTCAACCTATAGAGTGTCAGTATAATCCAACCAGACCTTGCAACGGGGGCGGTAAGACTAACTCTTGGCCGAAGCACGACTGGGGTCCAACTGAGAAGGGGTGCACGCTTCCTTTCTTATCGCCTAGACAGTCTTTTGGTCGTCCTCGATCATCCGGGAGCCATCGATCAGGAACGAATTCCTCAGGTCTGGCAAAGTTGCGCTCCACTGAGTAGGTGACCTGATGCAGCATCATGACAACAGTATTCCCAGGTACAAACTTGCCCGCAATCTGAGCTCCCGATAAAGGAACGCAGCGATCTGTGCCAGTTGCCGCTGGCGAGTAGCACCGAATTGACTCTTGCAGACATGCCTCTAGGTAAGGCAGATCCTTTTGAGAACTGCTGAGTCTGTCCATGGTGATATCCGCCTCGGTTTTGAACACAGTTCTGACCTCCTCAAGCAAGCACTCCTTGATAGCGCGGTTTTCCGCACGCGAGACAAAATAGACGAATCCCGTGAGTACAGTCGGCATGGCCTCGCAACCACCAAGCATCAGGAATGGAGCAAATTCCCTCAGAAGTTCTAGGGGCATCGTTCCTTGTCGTCCGCCGGTTTCGGACTCTCCATCCAAGACCATCTGTAGCATGTCATGCCTCGCTGTTGATAGGGCGACACGGCGATCAAAGCGTTCAAAGATTGGAGCCATGAAAGATTCACGCTCGCCGCTTCCCCATTTGTGAACGGCAAAAAGTAGAATCTTGTGAAGAAACGGGAACCGGTTCAAGACGGCTAGGATTGTGACACCCTTGGCAAACCGGTCGAAAGAATGCACCCAAGGTACGAACTTTGGGTCTGAGAAGAGATGGAGAGACTCGCCGAGAAACAAATCCGCTATGAGGTCGCAAATCATAAAGCTGTTCATGTCGCGCATGTCGATAGCGGCACCATTGGCGGACTCCATAAAGGAAAGGTACTCGTTGATGTGGCCATTGATCATGCCCTCGATCTTCTTGACGTTATCACGCTTTAGAGCCGGCACCATTGCCTTGCGCATGAGACTGTGCGTCTGTTGAGATCGTGGCTTCGCGGGGTCGGGATTGACAAGGTCGCCTCCCACGAGGGCTGCGAGACGAGGGTCTTTGGCCATGCCATCTTTGGCTGCTTTGGTGGCGCCGCAGATGTCGAACCAAGCACGCTCGTCTGTGAAAGTGAGGGCGTCGGGGGCGATACGGACGACACCGCCGTATTGGTTGTGGAGTTTAATCAGCCATGGAAGCTGGCGTCCTCGAACTGTGGCAATGAGATGGGGAATCCGAGAGACTGCGCAAAGTTTCGGACCAGGGAATGAAGACAACGGCGAGAAGTAGAGCTCTTTGACGATGGAGATGATGTACGCTCCGGTGCAAATGACAGCGACTGTAAATGTGAGACGCGATGTTGTAGTGAGAGCTTGCCAATGGGTAGTAATGTGGTCCCAAGTTACGCCAGGAGTAACTTGAGTGTGGTTGACGTAGGTTTGGGAGGACATTTTGGTTCCAAATGAATTCTGGTGATACAGTCCAATGCGATCTTTGCAGTGCTTCAATTGTCCGCGAAGAATTCCTATAATGGCATCGACAATGGTCCAAGTTTCAGAGATTGAATTTCTTTTACTAGCACCATCAGACACACATCCGTAATACAGGATCATGTCCGATAAGCAATTGCTGACTGCTGGTCCAAATGCAAATGTGAAGCCAGTTGTTTGCTTCATCCACATGAAAGAACCTATCTGATGACGAATCCTGACTCGGGTCACAACCATCAGATCCTGGTTTTCAAGGGGAGTGATCATAGCAATGCAAACATATCGTGCACTAAACTCATGAAAATGGCACGCTTCTGCCTACGAATAGCCCGCATTTTCCGATGATCAACATATCGAATCATTACTCTAAGCGATGGAGCACAGGGTGTCTTGGCATGTCTACAAGGTACAGCTAATTCCAGAAATCATTTGTCTACTTCCAATTGCCGGTGAATCCTTTGCGACGTCCACTAATACGCAATTCTCCCGAAGCAGGTATTCTTTTCGATCTAACCTTAAACAGACTAGGGAAGAACTGAGAGCATTGTTTACCTACCCCTGTTATATGTATTTGGGCTGGTCTTCCAGGGCGGTCTCTTTGAATCCTTCGGACATGTGGGGTGCACAATCCCTCTCCTTCGCACCGTCCCGCTCGCGCTTACGGATTTCGCACGACCCAACGTGTCTATCCGGTACTCATCCAATCAAGCTGACAATATGTCAACCTGATAGCCACCCAAATGTGTGGTCTGACAAGGAGCTGGGCGGGGAAATGCAGGTAGTGAAGACTAAAGTTCCAGCAGCAGCCTTATCTTTAGTTCATCTAGTATGGTCTCATCCGCACGTACGGGACTTTGGGTTTGCTCCCTGGCGCTGTGTAGATGCATCTAGCCCTGATCGACACTACACCCGCAGGGGTCACATCCTTGGTGCCTAGTTGCCGTTGGAAGTTTGTGTGTACTGCGCTTCCGAGCAAGGCATCAAGTTTCGACAATCCATAGACCAATACTGTTGGAGTTTTACGAGATTTGTCTCATCCTTGGCGTGTATGTTCAAACTTCACCCAAGGAGGAGAATCCTGGCACATGCATGTCTCAATGGAAAGCTGTTGAAAACTTGTGGAACACAATCTACATATTATAATGAGGTAAGACTGATACGATCGAAGCATGTCTCGGCGGCTGTTCCGACATTGTGGCTGGTCATGTTTCATGTCAGCCTATTTAGGCATGAACTACGTCTGAACTTTAATGTACAGTATCTACGTTAGAAAGGATGGTAATCGTTTTAAATGCATATCTAGACGACATAAATGAATGGCTTCATGCGTAGGGTGAGTTGATTTCTGGGTATACTACAACCAGCTTTCATGACAGTGGATGGTCCCATCGATACACCCCAACTGCATCCTTTCCGACCCCTTATTCTTACATGTAGTTTCTGACGAAATGCCTTCGTTACTTTCCGTCCTCAAACATAACGCCTCATTGTCAGCAAGGGAAGCAGGGTTCGTAGCCGTGTTTGCCGGAGCCACCAATGGCATTGGCCTCGCTACCCTCAAAGTTCTCACCGTCAGTCTTGTGTCACCGCGCTTCTACGTAATCGGTCGATCGAAAGCCAGTTTTGCCCTTCACATCGCCGCCTTGCGACGGAGTAACCCCTCAGTCAGCATCCATTTCATTGAGACCGAGATAGCGCTCCTCCGGAATGTCATTGCCGTCTGTGAGAACATCATACGACGTGAGCCCCATGTAGACTTGCTTTACATGAGTCCAGGATCGTTGGCCTTTGGGGGACCACATTGTGAGTTTATTCAGAATGTCAATTTTCAGCTTTGTTGCCTGATTTCCATCTTCACGCCCCTTCCCTGTTCTGTGGGAGGCTAGTGGCTTCGTACTGCAACATCGTCCCGGGCTGTTCGTAAGAGTCTATCTGACCATCGGGAACCTAGATACAGAAGAGCGCCTTGACATTTGCTTCGCTCTGTCCCACTACATCCGCATCCGATTGATCCAGGGACTCATGTCTAGCCTCTTGAGAGCCAACGAACCCCGCATTGTCTCTGTCTTGGCCGGTGGGCACGAAAAGCCACTCTTCACTGAAGGAGGCGACTTGGGACTTCGGCTGGAGGGGAATTACACCGCGCCAAGAGCTGTTGACCAAGTCACCACTATTCACAGCCTTGCTCTCATGTTTCTCGCCAAGGCCCATCCTAGGATTTCGTTCCTTCACGTCTATCCTGGTTGGGTTTCTACGAGCTTCCTATCTAATCTCTTGGGTAGTGGAGGTGTCCTTGGCAGAATGGTTGAGGCGGTAGTTGGTCCCCTTTATCAAATGGTTGCTATGAGTGAAGACGAGTGTGGGCAAAGACAGGCTTTCAACGCGACCAGCGAGCGATATCCCAGCCGTGACATGATTTTGCGTGCCAAGATCAATGTTAATGATCAAGCTTTATGTCATGGACCATGTAGTGGCTTTTATCTGGTGCTGGCAGACGGGAGCACATCTTCTCGCAATGAGGTTCTGGAGACTTTAACGTGCGATGATGGTTGGATGCAGAAAGTCATGGATTACACTGAAAATGTTGTCATGGAAGCAGGAGGTAGATAGAGTGAATTCGAAATCTAGTATTGGTAGAAACTGGGCCTATGTATCAGATTTTCGAATGATCTGGAAGCCGCGAGATCGCTTCAAGTTGCTTTTTGTTCCAGCTCGTAACTTGAAATCTATCGCGGGGTGACTGCAACCTTGACGCCGTGCAGGCTGCTTGGCCCAACCCTCATAACAGGAACATAAGGTCGATCATCTCTAGCTTCGAGGTTTTTGAACCTCTGGCAAAAGCGTGTCAGAACATACGCGGTCTCCGTAGCTACGAGGATATGAGC